GACTATTTTCTGGTTACTTCGAACTGGATCAAAATCGGGGCAATTGGCTCCACCATATAAACTTTTCAGTTCATATATCTTTAGTTTATTTATATTTGATATACGAGTATATAGAAGAAAAAGTCCTCACCTACCTCTAATGTAGCTTCATATTTGCGAAAAATTAAACCACCAAGGTGATGAACACATAGGAATGAAAATATGCTGGAAGTAGTATGAATGAATACGTATTTATCGATTTTAGTAAAACAACAAATTATGGTAACGAAGGGACTTGCCGTGTTTTACTCGTAATTTATGTGAAAAGACTCTTGAAATAAAATTATAAAATATCCTTGCATATTTTTTTATTTTATTTTTCAAGAGTTATTTGACTGCAAATGTGAAGCATCATGACCAGTGTAAGAGAACTGAATCTAGGTCAGTTGCTAAGCGCCCAATCCGGGTTCGATTTCCATTGTCAAGAATGGTATTGCTAATGGAATCTGGGGATCTAAAAGGTTTAAAATATTCGAAAACAATAAAAGTCCGTTAACATGTATTGGAGCAGCGTGGTCTAAACTTCTTTGTCCTAAAATTATATTATTATATATATGTATGTAGGTTGTAACTTTATGAAAAGTGCGGGATGATAACACATATGAAATTTTGTTTATGTAAACTACCCACCCGAAGCTAGAGGAAATCCAAGGGTTGAGGTAACTTTTTTGAAAACACTTTATTACTGATTAACATAAAGGTATTGAATTTTTACACCGAAATGTTATAAAACGGTGCTTTTTTTACAAATACCTCTCAAACTTCCGCAATTCGCGTAAACTACAATCGAAACACACTTTATTAACTTTTCCAGTCACGAGGTCAGCAATAACAGTGACTTGATGTAAAAATAAATTAATTTTATTTAATGTATTAAACAAAAGACAATCCGCTTTTTAGGCCCAATTTAATATGCATTTGTTTATTCACTAGCGGTGTTATTTATTTTACAATTTAATACGTGGCATAGAAAGTACCCCGTAAATAGTTTTCCTTACAGAATAAGCGTGACAAAGAAGCACATAGTCCATTCGATAGTAAGTTAACGCTGTGAACGTTTATCCTCGATTAAGTATCAACATGTAGATGCGTTGTCACCCCTGAGAACTAAGACGAAATGCCTCGTTTACAGTAAAAAGGGTCTCCAGTTGTCTACACTCACCATATGAAACACAGCAGCATAAAGCTACAATTTTACGCAGGTATTTTGTGAGAGTGTGGTCCTACCCAAGTCGAGCCGAACCACTCGTACTGCAACTATAATATAGTTGTAGCGTTCTATCATGAAAAAATATCGGATTTTAAAGTATTTCTTATAGTTGTCCATTTTATGAATAATGTTATACAGGATGGTTATACCGCCATTCTGTCCGAGGTCATGATCTATTTCTTACCTTTCCAATAGTCATCACCCACGTCGCTCGAAAAGCACATAAAGTCGTTGATCCTGTGCCTGATCTCACTCGTCATATTTAATTGCCATCTCATCGAACTTTGGGAGTGAGGAAATAGAGAGTGCACCTATGTTAGTGTCTACATTCAGATAATACTAACCTGTCCAGCACAGACTGCGACTCAAATTTATTGAGAAGGATATTATAATAGTAGCGATTTAAATTATATCATCAAAAATGATAAATTGTATTTCTGAAACACGTCATAAGTAACTGACTGCTACGATTCGCCTGCTCACAATGCCTATGCCATTGGAACAATAGCAACAACAAATCGTATTGTTTCCCTCTACTATACGTCTGACAATACTCTTATGGCTTACTGTTGAACGATCAAGTAACGTATATAATATGTTGTATGTCAATGTATTGTACAACAAAAAACACGTTAAATTCCGTTAAAATAGCTTTTTCGTATTGCTTTATATTTTGTTGTGTGTGTGTGTGTGTGTGTGTGTGTGTGTGTGTGTGTGTGTGTGTGTGTGTGTGTGTGTGTGTGTACGTGCATGTGTGCTTGCAGGCGTGCGAGCGTGCGTGCGTGCTAACGTGTAGCGTTTTGCGTGAAATATAGAAAAATTTGCGATTGGTAACCCATCTGCCAGGTATGGCAGATATGGGAGTAATTTGCCATTTTATTATTACGGAGGCCTACGTTCAGCTGTAGAATTTGGCGGGCTTCAATGAATCATGAATGAATGATTGATTACTGTGTGGCTCTACAAAACAAATACTGACTGAATGGTTGACCCGTGAATCGGTAGTAGAGTATCGCTTATCACGAATGCACGCGTTTATGTATAAAATGAAAAGCAGTGTTAGTAATTCTATTAAGGTACTGTTATTATTTGCTGGCGAAGTAAGAGAATCCTTCCTATTAATGGAGGTATATTCATCCCTATATCCGGGATTATGATCGTAAATTCGCTTCAGAAGCGCTGGGATTAAGTAAACTAAACTGCGTATTTTATGTCTGAAAAAGCACATACAATCTTGAGATAAAGAAACTCAGAAATGTGTCATTTCTATTCCATAACGGAAGAAACACCCCTGAACATCCTAATTGATTTTGAACACTTAATGCGCAAACGTAGTACTCATTTGGGAATCCAAATACTTAGCCCAGAAGAAGTGAAATTGCTCACAGCTAAGCAACTTCTTCAATTCATTGAATATATAAAGCTATATCACAAATCTTATAGGCCACCGTGATATTGGTCTATTTAGAAGCACAATTTAAAAAACATCCCCATTATGCCAGAGTGATTATTCATACCGGCGGTGGACGATAATGTTATAGGTGCGATGCGTCTGGCACTGTGATCGTCAACTCACCTGTCAAGCGTGACGATTAAGGTGAATGGAACGGAAGATTCCCATGTCATTTTTATTTAAGGGAGGGCAAACGAGCATACAAATCACCTGATTGTAAATGACTATCGCCACCAATGAATAACTGCAACACCAGGCAAATAACAAGCAGTAGACTGTTACTGGCTGCTGAAGAAGAAAAAAGTAAATTATACAGTTTCACTTCAATTCAACTCTTTTCCTCCTGCCTGCTGTAAACAACAAGATTTTAAGACATTTTTAAACTAGCTTGAGTGCATGCATTTTGTTTTTTGTTAGTAGGGAAAGCTTGCATTGTAAGCAGTACAATACTTTTAAGGCAATCATAATATTTTTATGGTAACGACAATTGCAATATTTCATCTGAGTGCTATAGTAAACGTCATTATTAATTTAATATGTTTGTTTTATAGAGTATTTTACATAAAATACTATGAATGCTGTGTTAATCAATAGATACTTAAAATTAAAAAATAAAGTTACAAATTTTATAATTTCATCACTTGTCATGACTGATGTTGGCATGATATTCAAGTTGGCATGGTATAGTATAGACTTTGTCGATGATTTCTGACGTGTTAGATTTCGTTGGTCTTCTGTTCATCGGGTTATCTTCGACGCTTTCTCTGACTTATTTGAACAAAACTGCTCACTTTTTTGCTGTGAAATGCAAAGGCACCGAATTACCTAATTTTAAATATGTCTTTCTTGATTTGACTTTGCGTCATTTTTAACGAAATATTTAATCACGGCTCTCATTTAACTTTTTTCCATTTTCCGGGAGAAAAGCAGACACACTTAAATAAAAAAATCGTTCCAAACTAATGACGCAACCTTTCACAGTGGCACTTGACATAAGATTCAATAAAGAATTAAGCTATAAATAAGTAAACATTTATTTACATACTATTCTTAAAACTCGGCTAGTCCGAGAACTTTTATGTCCGTCCGTCTTCAGTCTTCATTACATTATGATAACAGCCATTTAATGAAAAGATAATTTATAACTATTCGTTCCATCTTCAGTCAATCAACTAATTAAATATAAATTGTACTGAGACTAATTTTGTAGCTGCAGGGCCAAAATGAAACTTTCACCGTCTGTTTTTAGAAAAGAATACACACCATCAGGCAAAGTTTTCAAAATTCTGGCTGACAGAAGCACCGCTGACATGCGTGCGTCCTCGCACGCGCTGCATCGTAATCTTAGCTACCTGTAGACAGAAAAACATCGTTTGATTAACCTGACAAAACTGCGTCTCGTCCGGTCTATATTGACCCTTCGTATTGGTGGCAATCAATCCTACGAGAATTTAATCATTCATATGCTAGAATGATTATTCACTGTAGCAATAGAACCACCGCAAACCCTGCAATGGTTTCTTATTTTGAATAGAATCATTTTCTTTTTCTTTTTTTTTTCTTTTCTTTTCTCAACTGCTGTTATATACTGTTTATGCTTGTCCGGAATCACTATTTCTAGATGGGGATAGTATGCTAAATGGCATAAGCTCTGCAATGATAGTTAGAACCATTTTTTCTCACTCTTTTTTTTTTCAATTCATTTTAGAGCAATACAGCTTGACCATGTTCAAAAACTTTTCTGTTACAGTTACACAGTAGTGCAATGTTTGGGACGCAATTATAATGTGTCGGCACATTATTTTTATTAATAATTATTTCTTTATAAATCCGTCAAAATTATCTTAGATACATAACATTTATAAAATAATTGTAAAATTCGTCAAAAATAGCCTAGGTTATTGAGCGTGTTCGTGTAGAGTAGCAGCGTGTTCATGTATACATGGAGGGTGTTCGTGAAAAGATTATTTATCGATATAGCTGCCGGAGATGCGTACCCAAGGGAGTGTACATATATACAGTGGGTTGCCAAATTATTAGGGACAGTTTAAAAAAATGCATTTGTCAAGTATTTAGCTTAAATTAATGAATAAAACAAAGGCTTTTTAATGTAACTACGTTTTTAATAATTAGGAAAATATCCTATAATGTCATAAAAGTAATAAGAAATATTATAAAGGCATGCAAATAATTAAAATAAATTAAATAAGTAAAAGATGTTGTCGAATTTTACTTGTCAATATTTTGTAACATTTCCCTTGGCTACAATTAGTGCTTCTATGCGTCTGGGCATACTTTCTATGCATTTTTAGCACTTTCTTTTATTTTAGGATTGTGATGCCAAACCTCTATTAGCTTTTCAATCAGTCTTACCTTGGTGGTTATCATTTCTTTGGCAATTTCTGCTTTAGTGATCTCCCAAAGATTTTCTATGGGATTCATATCAGGAGAATTGCCAGGCCAAGGTAAGACTGGAATAATATTCTCTTCTAGAAACTTGGTGACACTTTTTGCTTTATGACAGGGTGCTGAGTCATGCATAAAGGTGAAGTTCTCACTATCAGGGAACCATTCCCTGAGTGTTGGCAACAATCGATTTTGTAACACTTCTTTATATTGGTGTTGTCTCATGGTCCCCTGGACAACGTAGAGCCGTCCAACACCCTTGGCACTTATGACTGACCACACCATTATTTTGACAGGGTGTTTCACCCTCTCCACGATACAGTTGGGGTGATATTTTTCACCTGGGCGCCGTCTGACGAAGCTACTTTTGTCGGCCAAAATTTCAAAAGTTGATTCATCGGAGAAACACACCCGAAAAAAAATAGTAATGTCGAATAACGTTATCGAATATAACGGCAAATAGGAAAAAACAACAGAAGTAAGGTGAACTGACCTTATTCCAGTCCTCTATTGTCACTTGTACCAGTCGCTTTTTTTTTCATTGCTTCAGTCAAGCGAGGTTATTTTAGAGGACGATGATCTGTTAATCTTTCTTCTGCCAACCTGCGCTGCGCAATTCTCTTGGAAACTGATATTCCAGATTCCTGAACTAACTGAGTTAACAGGCTAGCACTTTTTTTTGATTTTGTAGACAGATATCTCTAATTTTTCTATCTGAACGAGGTGTTGTGACGCGCTTTCTCCCACTGTTGCCTTTTCTCTTAGGCGACAGGGGCTGTTTTTTGTCCAAATTAATTTTTATTCTATTAACTACTCACTTGGTAATACCAGCAATATCTGCTATCTTACTTTGGGAATGAGTGGTGTGCTCGAGAAGGGTTTTAATTTCAGATTTTTTTCCTAGGAGACAAATCACACCCCTTACCCATGCTGGTAGACGAAATAAATAAAAATTATCAGAATTATTCAATAAAAAATATTTATATAATATTAAATAAATATATTTTGACACAATTTAAAAGCACAAATATAACCTGAAATCGGTCTTTCACTCTATCGCGTCTTAAGCATAATGCGGCTCGCACGCTATACAAAAATTTTTAAAATATAAAAACAAATCCCATAAATCTCAAAATCTAAATATTATGATAGCGAAAGAAGCTATAATAAATTTCATCTCCACTCTAACCACTTGAACTGTACTCAAGTGCATCCAAAGTTAGAAAACAAGAAAAAACTTGACTCGCTAACCGATGTGTCCTAGACATATCATCTTAGTGCCGTTTGTAAACGGGTTTACTGCAGCAATACGGCTTGCCTGTAAACATTGTACACCCATACCGTTTGTGGGCAGCGTCTTAGCCATAGCATTATGATACGTCGGGTAACTTTCGAATTGGGATGAGTGGTTTTGGAAGCACTTTTAAATGTAGCAAGCACACTCAACTCCAAGTCTTAGTGCATTAGCGCTATGACACGTAGAGTTTTGAATATTGGCTTCTCACTAGCATGCTACTATGATATGTTGGTGCTATTTTTAGCTTCCCAATGGAAAGTTATTGTAATGGGTCCGAATTTAAAAATTGGAAATTTTAACATAAGTCCACGATTCAAGGTCTTTAAAGTCGAATAATACGGTTTTAAGAGGATGTCCGTGTGTGTATGTATGAATGTTCGGATTCAATTTTCGCCTCATATATCTCGATAAAAAAGAGTGATATTGACATGGGAACAATTTTATTTAACGCATAATTATGTAACTTAGACCTCGTAAAGTTTTGAGCAAAACCGGTCAAGTCGTTTTTTGTGCCGAGTGAAAAATTGTATAAAATATTGAAACATATGATTTTTTTAATTATTTCCAATGGAAATTTAGTCCTGTGGACCTTTCGGGTCGCACCTAGACCGCTTTTTAGTTACCAACAATACCAATTTTGTTACAAGAGTCGATAGGGATGTTGTGATCGGTGCCATCCGTATGGTAGTTGCATTGATGCTTACTGCTAGTTGCGGTATTGCGTCTTGTGATGGATCTCCGGGTTTCCTGCGCCTTATTCGCATACATCTTCTGGTTTTGGTCGATAGAGGTATGCGGATAGTGTTGTCTGCTGGGATTGTATGAGGGAAATTGGGATAGTTTAAGCCCGTCGATAGTCGTATTGATGCTTGTTGCGTTCTGTAGCATTGCATCTCTGTGATAGTTGTTTGGCGGGACGCTATCCTCAATGGTGCTCTCGGCGTCTTAGTTTGACTGACACCTAAAAAGCTTTTCCTATGGCTGGTCCCTTCATTACGGAACCGAAGAGTGTCTGACCTCTATGATGTTTTATATAACAACATAATAATATATTTCTGTAACTTTCCTACCATTGAATGATTGAAGGCAATTTGTTGGTGGGTGAGACAAACATGATGGAAAAATGCATATATACTCAACGTCAGTGACACAAACCCTTTCTGATGGCAAATTATTACTGTTATCTTATAAGTGCCTTCTGGCTATATCTGCCGTTGTATTGGTTGGTGGATCATATATGTCAACCTTATGCGGGTGGTAGCTAGAGGAAGGATCTAAAGAGACTCTGAAGGCCAAAAGCCGCACAACGTGGGACTCCATTTCCTTGAGGTGAGTGGTAGACTCACGATACGCTCTACGGCTAGTGACCGTGCCGATCATGCCATCGGTGGTGATGCCATACACTTACATCACGTCTACAGGAACGGCAGTCTGGCAGGTGGTGCCATGCACGGAGGGCTTTTTATGGCCAGTTTGCTTATTTTCCTTAACCATGTGACGTACATTTACTGTGGCTGGATTTGATCGTATTCTGTATATCGTTTACACGTAGATGTTTGTGCTTACGCAATACTAAGGGCCAAGTCCTCTTTTACTGATTCGCCAATTATTTTGCTGTGGACTACGGTCCAGTTCCCTATTTAAAGTTCCCTTTGGAGCGAACGCGTTAGTTAGTTGGCGCTCACTGCACACGGCTTAGAGTGACTGATTTGTTTATACCACAGGATATAAAATTTTGTATATATTCTATAATGCTAAACTTTTTTATAGAAAATTAGTTTTTTTTTTGTTTAAAGTATGGTGTAGGTGGGTGCGGTCGCGTGCGACCTTTAATAAATGAAAATCCTTTGAATAACTAACTTTTGTTTAGACTATAGAATAGAGAATTTTGTATAGATTATATAATGCTAAATTTCTTCATAGAAAAGTAGTCTCTAAATATAAGTTTTTATGGTTTAAAGAGCTGTGGGTGGGTTTGGTCGCATGCGGCCGCATGGGAATTTTAAGCGGACTGAGGGGTTAAGCAACAAAATTAAAACTGCATCCAACGAAACTAAAATGACGTGGAGTATAATAAACAGTGAAACGGGTACCACACAGTATAATTAACAGTGAAACGGGCTAGGTTAAAACATGCAACTCTGATCTTCAACTTAGACTTAAAATATTTTAATTCAATAAATAAATAATAAATATTATATTTAATTCAATAAATAAAACAATATTTTAAACAAAGAGAGAACATGCCACCTAAATTTGTGTCGATACGTAGCAAACGCCGTAGGGATGATGACATTTCAATAGAGTTGAATAACTTCAAGGATGAAATTAAGAAAATGATAGCTACTCTACTTGTCCCGCAAGAACAAGAACTTAAGAAAATTACACCTATATTAAAGAATATACAACAACAAACAAACCAAAACATCGAGAGCTCTATTACTGTTCTTACTGCACAAAATGAGGAGTTTAGGAAGAAAATTGAATATTTGGAAAACCAAATAAAAGAAGACAGGAAATATATAACGATACTGGAGGATAGAATTGAGGATATGCAAATGAGAAGCCGTAAGATGAATTTTGAAATGAAAAACGTTCCTAAAAAAGTTAATGAATCTAAAAAGGACTTAATAGACATGGTAATATGCTTATCCAAAAGTATTGAGAGTAATCTTAACAAAGCAGATATAAAAGATATATATATATCGTATCTATAAAAAGAAAATATCCGCAATACTCCCATTGTGGTAGAGACTTCGTCAACATTGCTAAAAAGTGACATATTAAAAATGGCAAAATCTTTTAATAACAGGCACAAAACTAAACTTTGTGCAAAACATCTTGGCTTTCGTACGGCTGAAGATACTCCCATATACATAACCGATCATCTAACTGCTAAAAGTACACGATTACACTTCCTAGCTCGAGATCTTGTAAAAACAAAAAAATACAAATTTTGTTGGACTGCCTACGGAAAAGTATATGTTCGCAAAGATGAGACATCTCAAATAATAACCATAAAGAATGAAGCCCAGGTTAACCAGTTATTGCATACCGCATGACTAGAAGAGAACGCGCAATTTTGTCTAAATAATGAAATTACTTTATTTTTTTCTATATTTCTTTTAGTTCGTAAGTTTTTTTCAACAGATCACAAATCATCAGTTCTTATATGTATTACACACAACTTATACATTCTTACACACAGCTTACACTTGTATTTTTTTTTATAGGATAGGGTGACAATCGAGCACACAGTCCACCTGATGGTAAGTGGTTGCTGTGGCCCATAGACATCTACATCTATCCTTGATTACGAATCAAAATGCAGATGTGTTGTCACCCGTGAGGACTAAGATGGAATGCCTCGTTTCCAGTAAAATGGGTCGCCGGTTCTCTACACTCACCATACGAAATACAGCAGCATTAAGCTACTATTTCACGCTGGTATTCTGTGAGAGCGTGGTCCTTCCCCGGTCGAGCCGACCCATTCGTGCTACAACTATACATCTAATATAACTGCAGCATGGCTCTACCACAAACAACTTATACATGCTTACAACAGCTGCATGTATTTATTAAAACCCTATCACTTTCACTATCACAAAAACTGATCATATATAACATTATCATTAATATACAGCTCACTCTTAAAATGAAAATTTCTAATAATATAGAACAGTATACGAGAAAAGCAATTTACATATTAGGATGCAAACATATCTTTTTATCTATAAATGTATATATTATAATGCAATTATATTAGGTATTTACACAGATGTATACACATATAGACGACAGCTAATACTCCTACTTTTGAAATGGAAAGTTCTTTAATTACCTGGAAAGAATTGGATAAAATTGAAATTGCAAACGCTATTGAGTGCGACATTGAAGACCTCTCAAATTTCATTACTGTGAAAAATAATGATTTAACCATAATATATCAAAATATAAGAAGTGTGTATAGTAACATAGATGACCTAAA